GACCGGGGCTGGCTGGGGCCTGGAGGGGGGCAGCTGGGGCTCCCGCTGAGGAGGTGGTTGTGTCTTTGTAGGGATCCAGGTGCGCCACGACCAGGAGAGCGGGTACATGCACCACAAGTTTGCCATCGTGGACAGGAGGATGCTCATCACGGGTTCCCTCAACTGGACCACCGAAGCGATCCAGCAGAACCGGGAGAACGTGCTGGTGGTGGAGGACGCAGAGTACGTGAAAGCTGGGGCTCCCGCTGAGGAGGTGGTTGTGTCTTTGTAGGGATCCAGGTGCGCCACGACCAGGAGAGCGGGTACATGCACCACAAGTTTGCCATCGTGGACAGGAGGATGCTCATCACGGGTTCCCTCAACTGGACCACCGAAGCGATCCAGCAGAACCGGGAGAACGTGCTGGTGGTGGAGGACGCAGAGTACGTGAAACCTTTTCTGGATGAGTTTGAAAGGATTTGGGAAGAGTACAATCCCACCAACTACACCTTTTTTCCCAAAGTCAATAAATGATTGAGCTGCCTCACAGGGCTGGTGGAGTACTGACCAGATGGCACTCATGGACTTTATTGTGGTGTACAGACATCACTGTATTATCTGTCTCTGGTGTCATTTAGGTAAGCTCCTCCACAGAGGCTCTCTACCCTCCCCATGTCCCTTGCCCCTTGTCCCCATGTTCCTGTGCCAAAGGGAACAACCCAGCTGTTTGGTACGTTGTTTTGTGAAGATAGCTGCAAATAGGGCTGCATTGATAGAGCTTAAAACTACAGGCAGGCTTGTTGCTGTCCCTTGATGCAGATAATGTGTGTTCATACAGTGCTGGGTAGGTGTTTCAATGGTGAGATGCACATTTTCCCAGCTTGGGATGCTGCAGAACGGGATTGTGGCCCAGTGGTTCCTCAGTAATGCTAAAGAGTTGAGGGCTACAGCAAAGCCAGAGTTGGTATAGAGCGATTAAGCACCACAGTTACATTTCTTGTTGGCATTAATTGTTATGTTCTTTGGGATCAGTCTTGTCTTGAGAGCAGGCACAGTTGGAGACACCAACTTCAGAGCAGTGGAAGGAAACCCCAGGTCACTGAGGTGGGGACACCGCGTCCTGGTCTGGGTCGGTGGCTTTGACCGCCCGTGTTGGCAGCTTCAGGGTGGGGACAGTGAGTGAGGAGCAAAAAGGGGATTTCAAATCCCTGTCCTGCAGTTCAGGGTGGAACAAAATGGGTGCAAACTTAGGAATTTCAAAACTCTCAGTAACAGCTGTGTAAGAATTACTTTATATTGAGTATAAAGTGCCTCAAAGTCTGTCAACTTGAAAGAAAGTTCCAGTGTTTTGTTACCAGTTTTGCTTGATGCCGCAGCGCTGCGATTGGTGCTGTTAAATAAACCGTTCTCACAGAAAAGCTCCCATCAGCCCCTGGTTTCTGTGCTCCCGGCAGCCCTTGTGGGTTGGTTGTTCCAGGGATCTGCATCATTAAAAAATCCCTGTAGATCCTTGGGTGTTATTTAGGATACAGGGAACAGCATCAGCAGACTGCAGGGTTGTTATACACCGTTTGAAAAAGTTGTTGTGGGCCTGGGGAAGGGGGGAAAAGAACCCCTGCATTGCTGTTATGTGTGGTGTAGGACTGTGGAAGAAGGTGGGAAATTAATTCTGCAGTAAATCCCGTTCAGCATCATTAGTTTTACATTACTTTAAATGTTATTGCTATTAAAGTGCTACCTGTTGCTTTTTTCTTTGTTGTGAAGTGTGACTATAAAAGCAGACAGCTTGGGTTCAGGCTCTGGCCTCTGCTCCTTCCTGTATCGTCGTCTTTGGAAAGAAACACCACACGGCATGCAAAGGGTGGTGCAAAAATAGTTTATTACGGCATAGTTAATGTAAAGTTTGTTAATTAAATTTACAAATTAAAAATTATCAGCTACATCCATGGGAACCTAGCGTGTCACACAGGATTTTGTAAGGAATAAATACTGTGAGGAAAAGTGATGTTTCTACTGCAGTGAGCGGCTCTTGAAGAAGCACTGGGATAAACTGGAGTGGAAAAGCAAAGGGAAGGAGAGAGGAACTCATAGAGGCTGAGAAAAGGGAGCCTCCAACCCCCATTCCCCTTTGCAGAGGGAAAATACCACGTGAGAGATGTCCCTTGCTGGACTAATCTGTGTGGAAACTAATATGTGTGGAAAATGCACCTTGAAAGAGGCCGTTCCACCCTACAGATGGACAGGGCTGGATGCCGTCTGTGCGTCCTTTTATCCTGCGTTCGAGCCACAGGGATCTCCAGCACTGGGGAGGCTGCAGCGCCCCAGCACCACTGACCCCATCGCCAGATGGAGGGCACCGAGACCAGGAAACGACTCCTGCATCCTCACAGTTCCTCCAGGTCGCTCCAGAGCACAAGTGGGTGTGGGTTCAACCCTGCCCGAGCTCCCCTCGGTTACAGGTCAGGTGCTGATTAAAGCAGAGCTCAGGCAGAACCAAGTGGAGGAGGACGACCGACCATCGCTACCTGACCAGATACCACCCAGACTCACAGAACGTCCCATTTTCTCCCTAAAACTTCATCCTTCCAAAGAAACGATTCTTTAAAACCATCCAGAGCTCCAGGTCCTGGACATGGGTCAAAGATGGCACATTCCTGTCTGCTTCCTACTTACCAGGCCTCAGTATTTTACACCACCTTTTGCTGTGTCCTCATCAGTCCTGCACACAGGCAGCGTGTGATGAACGTGTGAAGGAATTAATGATAATTGCACTCATTTAGGAGCTGATGGCCGGTGGGGTTGGCTCCGTTAGTACCAACTTGTTGCTGTCCCGGATTCTGCTGGTAAATCCACACCCTCGGGGTCTGGTTTGTACCACGGGATCGTGTAAATCCCACTCAGTAGCAACTGTGTTGTACTGAAGGCGATGTCTGAATGGTTATGTACTGCACGTACGTACTCTGAAACAGCCTGCACAGGACAGGGATCTTGGAAGGTAAAGGTATTCAGCAGAAAAGGTTTGGAAAGGTGTTTATGACAGTCATTAAAAGCAAATAAATCATTTGATGAGGGCAGATGGGGTGGGTTGGACCCTCCTCTGCCAGCCCCCGCGTGGGACATCTGCGTTAGAACAAGATTTAAACAAATTAAAACCACGGCTTAGTCACAAAAGAGAACCCTCCACCAATGCCAGTAATAAATGTTTACAGGGCGTGCTTTGAACGCTATGCAGGTTTTAAATTGCTTTTTTTAAAAGAGGAGGATAACAAAGCTTTTTTTTTCTTTTTCTAAAAAAGGAAAAATCACAGAGGAAAGGCGAGCTACACCGAGCACACGTGGGCTTAAATGCTCACACCAAGCAAGTGCTGTATCCGAACCATGGGAAATGCAAAGGCCGAGTGGAAGTGCAGTGGAGTTGGTACAGAAGTGGCACAGCTACGGGGCTGGGGACAGCACCATCAACGCAGTCTGGTCACCGTCTGGTACAGATGGAAAAAAAGAGACTTTGCTGCTTTGCAAGTCAGCACACAATTCGAGTTTTGGAGCAAATGAACACAATTTGCTGCTGCTTTTTATACGCAGGCAAAGAAATAGCGCATTTAAAGAAGAAACCAATTTGTTTCAGAGGAGACGGTGCAAAGAATAGGAATATTTTAGGCAGAAGAAAACCTGTGTGGAGCCAGGTGCGCTTGACTTTTCCTAATCCTCCCATTTCCACACTATCAACAGTGCAGAATTGTGTCAGACTGCCACATCTCATGTGTTACGCTGCGTGGGTTTGAGTTTGGCTGTTTGTTGGTGCTGCGGGTTCTCTGTCTTTAAAGGCAGGTCGTGTCCTGCCGCTTGCTTTGGGGGATGCTGATGGCATCACCAGGCTGCAAGGGGGCAGAGCCCACAGTGCTGAGCCCAGCCTGCACCAGTTCACGTCACCATCTGCACATCACAGCATCTTCTCTCCTCTTCCTCATCCTCTTCTCTGAGACCCCAACGACTCACAGCCATCACCGTAAGAGACTCAGCACTCCCACCTGGAAATGCGCTGCCCCGCGGGGTGAGGAGGATCCACCGATGCCCAGAGGCCACATCTGCACAGCAAAGCCACGTTCTCCACTTTAATCTTCCACTCCTCAGTGGAAAGCGGCCGCTCCTCCAAGCTACAGCAAACGAAACCACCACTGTGGTCATAAACAACCCCTTTGCTCAGCAATAACTGTTTGAAACCCACGAAGTCCAGCAATGAGATTAATGGCCTTGGCTCGCCAGGCATCGCTGTGCTCCTGCCATCTAACACATTTTATTTCAACCATACCTGTACTTAGTGCCAAGGTTTTTCCTGGCAAACCTGCTCGCTTTGCTTTTCCCAGCTGTTTGAAGGTGCAGAGAAGGTGGCCACGATGTATTAAATACAAGTTTCCTGATAGCAAACCTCTGCACAGCTGAGCCCTGGGTCTGATCTGCTCAGCAAACCTCAATTCAAATCTTTTTGTGGGTGTTTTATGAAAGGTGGGGACACAAAGACTGATGTTTTCTGTACAATATGGGAAAAATAAAGGAAAGAGAGGAGAAGAAAATGCAGCTGCATTTTGGCTGATGCTGGATCCCTGCAGTGCCTCACCAGATGCAAACCACCACGTACATTATACCTTGGTTGGAGAATTCACACAAGCACCCAGAAATTACAAACTATTTAGTGTATGGGCACATATATAGAAAAGGAGAGCGAGCCAGACAAGTGTCCCTGGGTAACACACCCCTGACAAATACCAGTATGTTTTTATATGTATATAAACACAAAATCAAGTGCTCTCACTCGCTAGGCTCGATACCCAGCTCCAGGCAGGACACTGCAAGAGAGGATTTCATGGTATGAGCAATCATAGAGCAGAAGTTGTTCTTCATGGAGTCTCAAGATGCTCAGTGTCATGATCCGGTGTCTGAAAGGGTCCATCTGGTGTCCTCCACACCACGACGTGCCAGTGCGAATAGCGAGGTATGTCACTTTTAGTCCTTATGCTTAAAACAAGTGCTCCTGAGCAAATGAAGCGTGCAAAGGAAAGGCAGGATTTGCTGGGGAAGTAAGAAAGGTCCGGGGCCACGTGGTGAGAAGGAGACCAGCGTGTGTACTGCTTGGCGGCCAAAAAGGACAAAGTCCCACCACACACATCACGAGAGGAGGAGGATGGCATCCTGGAGCCAGCAGTGTCTTGTAAGGGAAGAGCAGTGACAATGACGGGACCAACCCTGTCCTAATGCTGCGTCCCAAGCCAAAAAGACCGCAGGGCACAAAGCTGCTGGAGAGCAGAGCTCACCATGCACGGACAGAGAGCAGCCAGGGTGAAATCTAAGGGTTATCCCTGCTGAGAGTGGCACCAGTGACTTTGGATGGGACTTCCTGGACTGGAAGTATCCATCCTGACAGGGTCAGATACAAATGCAGTGGGTACAGGCACCTTCCTACCCGAACAGCCCAGATTTAGATGAACCTGGGCTCCAGCACTGCTGGTTCTGCAACCTGCACCTCTTGGCAGGCGCTGCTGTCCCTGCTTTAACTTAAAGACCGCCTTTAAGCACTTATAGATGCCACTAAAGTGTCACCTTCCCATCCGCTGTGAGCATGGGGACCCTCACCCAGCTGCGTGGCTACACCAGAGACCTGGACCTCGGTCAAGGGCAGGGAAA